ACTGTCTGAATGGCCGGGCCCAAAGAGTTGTGGTGAACGGAGTTAAATCTGGTTGGTGGCCGGTCATGGGCTCGGTATTGGGTTCACTCCTGTCTAACATCTTCACTGATGATCTGGACGAGGGGATCGAGGGCACCCTCAGTCAGTTTGCGGTGACACCCAGTTGGGTGGGCGTGTTGATCTGCTCGAGGGTGGGGAGGCTCTGCAGAGAGACCTGGCCAGGCTGGAGCCATGGGCTGAGCCCAACTGGGGGAGTTTCAATAAGGCCAAATGCCGGGGGCTGCCCTTGGGCCACAACAACCCCCAGCAGGGCTACAGGCCTGGGGAGGAGTGGCTGGAGAGCTGCCAGTCAGAGAGGGACCTGGGGGGGTTGATTGACAGCTGGCTGAACAGGAGCCAGCAGTGTGCCCAGGTGGCCAAGAAGGCCAATGGCATCCTGGCTTGTGTCAGCAATAGCGTGGCCAGCAGGGACAGGGAAGGGATCTGAGCCCTGTGCTCGGCACTGGTGAGGCAGCACCTCGGTGAGTGGGTTCAGTTTTGTGCCCCTCACCCCAAAAAGGCCATTGAATGACTCGAGCGTGGCCAGAGAAGGGCAACGGAGCTGGGGCAGGGTCTGGAGCACAGGTCTGCTGGGGAGCGGCTGGGGGAACTGGGGGGGTTTAGTCTGGAGAAGAGGAGGCTGAGGGGAGACTTCATCGCCCTCTATAGCTACCTGACAGGAGGGTGCAGAGAGGGGGGATGAGTCTCTTGAACCAAGAAATAAGTGCCAGGACAAGAGGTAATGGCCTCAAGTTGAGCCAGGGAAGGCTTAGACTAGATATTAGGAAGCATTTCTTCACAGAAGGGGTTGTTGGGCATTGGAATGGGCTGCCCAGGGCGGGGGGGGAGTCCCCATCCCTGGAGGGGTTTAAGAGTAGAGTCAACATGGCACTGAGGGATATGGTGGAGTTGGGAACTGTCAACGTTAGGATAATGGCTGGACTAGATGATCTTCAAGGTCTTTTCCAACCTAGACGATTCTGTGATATAATGCACAGCCCTTCAGCAGTGTTCCTCCATAGAAGGCATCATTTTGCAGAGATGCAGCAGTAAATACACAAGGATTTGAAACTATTTCTGGGTTAGCTCTTTGCCTCTGTCTACTGCCTCACTACGATTGCAGTGCAGCTCAGTCTCCTTGCCAAGTGCTGTCCTGAAATGTAGATCAGGAAATTTTCCCAACTGTAGTAAGGAAGAGAGAACGTCCAGCATATTAATATCTTATGATACAAGTAGACATGCAAATGAAATATCTCTAATCAGCCATGTAAGTGGCTTTTGGTTTTACCATTTCCTGGAAAATTAAGTTATAGCAATAATGGGACATCTTAGTGCAGGAGGTCCTTAAAGTAGCCAGAAAGTATTCCTTAGCTTATTTGCAATGGGTTATTTATAGACAGATTCTAGCCTTGGGCACATACTGCTGCACAGCTTGAAATATCCATCATGGCAGTTCTGCAAGGCTCAGCAAGCATGTTTATTCCCAAGAGTGGTACTGGTAGCAGAGAGTACCATGTGTGCCAGACTAGACTGCTCACTGTGCAAACTGTTGTCCAGTACCTTCATATTTCCATATTGAGATTTGCCAGAGTAAACCTTGTTTTTTCATTGTTTTCTGTCTAGACTGTGACACACTAATCTAGCTCACTGGCATTTCCCAGGCTGCAAACCAAAATATATTCTGATAATAAGTCATACACGTGGTATTTGGCACACTCTAGTATCTCTCCTTTATATTAAGCCCCTTGTGTAAACCTCTTGAAGTACTTGAAAAATTCAAGTTATCATTTAGATAAGGGGAGCAAAAGGTGAGATATGTTAGCACTGTTGCAGAAAAACACCAAGTTGAAAGCTGATGCATTTCCCAACAGTGTGCCAAAACCCTCCCTCCTGGTGATAAGGGATGGCCTGAAGAAAAGACCAGTACCAGAGTCCTTCAGAGTTAAGAGATTCTGATTTGTGTCTTCACAGAGAAAAAGAGCAACAGAGAATTTATTCTTTAAATACAGTTCTTAACAGGAATAAAACCAGTGGCACAATCCTAAGATTCGTGAAGCCAGTGGCCATCTTTCCATTGATTTGGTGGATGTTGGAACAGGTTCAGATGTTTGCAGGGTAGCAATGATGTGATCTCAGAGGAAGGTGGCCTCCCAGCATTTCCTCCTCTTCTTCCCTTTTTTATGGAGTATAACAACATGCGGATCTTCCCCACATGGTGAACAAGATCCAAGCTGTCATGGCAGCTTGCATGCTAAGCAAACCTCTCCCACAGGGGACACTGGTTGCTGCACACTCCGTCCGCACTCAGACATCTTCCCACCAAAAAGTCACCTTTGCAGAAGAAGATAGTCTCAGATGAACCTACATCCTGAGTCTGTCAGTGCCAATGGAAACTTGGCCTGTGACTTTAAAAAAAAGCGCAAGATTTGGCTTAATTTGCTATTTTAATCTATGCAACTAGGTAAACAAATTGGTTTAAATGCCTGGTGATGTTCTGGAAATGGGTCAAATGCTTGATCAGCTTCTGTGGTCCTGGATCAAGACATAAAAGCCTGTGCCAGGTGGCCCTCATATAGAAGTGGGGGCTGCCCCGAGTAGGTTAGGTACAAAGGAGGCAATGCTTTTCTCCCCAGTGCTTTTACTGAATGGGCTTGAATTTAAATGGCATGGGGCTATCATGTAGGGGTCCACCTTAATGGACAAGGAAAATAAAAGAATGTGATCAGGAATAATCTTGGGTAAGAACTGAACAGCAAAGAGGGGACACAAAAGACCCACAGCTACACTCTAGATTTGAGACCAGTCTGGCTGGCATCTCAAGAAGAGAGAATGTAGAAAGGTTTTTGAGTCCCCCTCTTCTGGGCAGTTAAATCCTTCTTTGAAGATTCACAGCTTTTGTGACTTTTCCCCACCAAAGAAGAAAGTTGGGGGAGGTGATAACTTCTCCCCTAACAGGTTTAAATGAATATTGACTGCTTAGAGGTCTTCAGCTAGAAGCACTGTTGTTAATAGGACTGAATTATGAAAATAAGGCTTGAAATTATGGCTGAAGATACTGTTGTTGGGAGATTTTAGAACAGTGTAAACACATCTCCTTCATTACACTAATTTACTTCCATTACTGTGTAGCACTTGGCATTTATTTTCTTTTTTTGCTGGAGATAACTCACTTTAATGAGTTGGTGCTCCATATCATGCAGAGACCTATTAGCAAAGTAAGCAGTTCATACATGTAAAGACTCTCACAGTGGGTGCTGGCATAAGGCAGTTTTATGAGTAATAAGCTTTGGTTATTATTCTACTTTGGTTATTACTCTACATACTACTTTATGTCAAAAGGTAAAACCAGCAAATTGAATTCTCCTCTGAAAGAGGACTAGGGAATAACTTCAGGCAAGCACAGGCTGGCACACTTAATGATGAAACCAAGGGAAAGGCAAGGATCATAGCTGGGTGGGAAGCATGAAGTCACAGGCAGGGCAAATTATGTAGAAAGATGTCCTCTTTAGGCAACCAAGATTAACATCTTGCCTTTATCAGCCAGTAAATTATTTTTTTGGATTGTTATTCCCAGGTGAGCTCTTCTTTGGGAAGTGATACTAACACACCATTCTCACGCACTAACTTCTCCATCGGAGAAAAATGGCACAGAAGTGTGCAATTAATAGCTGAATTTATTCTCTGTTCTGTGCCACTTGAGAATCTCACTTTGCTGCAGAAGTTGGAAAAGGGAAAAGTGTCCTGCTGCCTGTTGTCCCTTCTGCCATCGTAACGGTTGCTTCATTCTCCATGTGCTGCCTCTGACACATGCCTGTGGGGGGGAGGCAGGAACAACGTATTGATCCCCCATATTAGGCTGCTTCCATCTGGTCACCTTTTCTGTCCTTTTAAGTACTCCTTTGTAAGGGACTCCTCTCCATAACCACAAGGTATCTTCACCCCTGCAGATGTTAGTCTTTTATTTTAGAAGGGAGAAGATCAGCTAACAGTATAAACCTGTGCAGTTCACACTTTTCTCACCTTACTGTTTCCTCTGGCTCACCTGCCTCATGAGTGGGTATCAGTTTGTAACGTCACAGCAAATACATTGTGTTAGTGATGGGACAGAAGAGAAGAATACTGGTGGATAATTGCAGCTTCCAAGTAGGCTAATGTCTAACACATGCTGAGAAGGTTTCACACACTTCAGGCCCAAGGCTGTAAGCTGGTTATTCTAAAATAGCCTGGCCTGATGACATGACTGCTGTCTGCAGCTCGACGTGCCAAGTGCAGTCACTGGTAATTAATGGGGAATGAGGCATTTGGTGATTTCAGTGTTTCTATATTTGTCTCAGGTTTTCAGATGAGTGGAGGACTGAGGGAAACAGGCATTGATTTTTCCAGCTGTTAATGTGGTTGTTAACAAAAACAAACGCAGAATCTGAAAATCTCCAGTTTCAGTGCATAGATATTTGCTTGCCAAACACCACATGCTCTGTGACAGAGCTCTTTTTCAAGTGGAATTTGTGACATTTAGGTATTGCCTCTTTGTCACTTAGAGAAAATCAGAAGTAGCTCCTCCACTGGCACTCATATGCAGTAGACACTGGCTCATGCCAAGCCTGCAAATCCAGTGTTTGACTTCAGAGTCTGGGGTTGGTCAGGGGTGGGTTTCTATCCCCGGGGTAGTTTCACCAAGCCAAGCAACGCTCAGCTTTCAGTCTCATTGCAGCGTAGCGTATCTGTGCTGAGAGTCAGCATTAGTGTAATTGCACTTATTGAAGTGCCACAAGCTTAATATGTGCTGTGCAGAACTCTGAAGGCAGAGCTTTGTTACAGCCATTTAAACATTCCAGAGCTAGCTTTCAAGGCTTTGTGTATACAGATTAGCTACAAACCTGTGGTTTTTTCTCCATTGTCCATGCAACCTCTGGGAAGATAACCTCTTAGCCTGACCATTTGCTCTTGTTTCTCTTTGTCAGGCTGTGAAGAGTTACTAAAAGATGTTCTGTCTCCTGAAAACTCTGGGACTCGACACTACGAGCCACACTATGTTGATTACTACTACCAGGTAAGAGAGGTGCTAGTTCTGTCTCACGTTAGTGGGCTGCGGAAGCCTCTGGAGTGATGTGTAGTTGGGTCATTGTAAATGCTGTTGTTTTACTTGGCCTGTTGACTCTTCCTTCCTAGATTCATGACTATTAGCAAGCCTTCTGTACTGGTTTAAACTGCATTTAACATAGGGTAGCTGTCAGGTGGTATAAGAATATTTAGGATTTGGATATCATTCCTCTTAAGCCTTGGTATTCTTTTGGCTATGAAGGAAGACATCACATACAAGCTCACTGGCACCACACAAGTGGAAAACACTGATTTGTATTTAATTTGTGTAGGTGAACAATATACTGTTGGTAACCTTGATACTACTTTGGCTGGTGGGTATAACATATTTTCAAACCATTAAAGGTCTTAATCTGTATCCTTAATTTGACAGTGTCTGCACAGTCTAACAAGCAGAACATGTCAAGTTTTCCTTTAAGCATCTAATTGTCTCTCCTTCATTTTACTTCGGTTTTAATCACCTCCACCCATGTAAATTCTTAAGATTAAAGGTACAGTTAGCAGTGTACATTGTACATTCAGATAAGGACTGCATGTCACTGGTGTTAGGAGACTGCAAATGATCTTGAAATCAGTAGGGAAAGCATTTTACCTTCCAGGTGATGAAGTGTGAGAACAATACTCATGTATTGAGGAGAGACCTGTGATAAGCATGCTGGTGTTACAACACTTCATGGTGTTATACAAAATGGTTTCCACTGTTCATACAAAAAGTGTAGAGACATTTCCTTCACCTCAGTGCAGAAGATGTCTGTTACAAGATGGAAGGAGACCTCCATGACTGCAAACAGCACAGCAGAATTTGGTCATAAACTTTCTTAATAAGGAAGAGTTGTCTGAGCTTACTGGCTCTTTTTGCTTGAAATGACAGGCTGGTTTTAGTACCTGGGCTGTGGCTGGATGCCACCATAACTCTGCTTGTTTCTGAAGCCCTATTTTTTCTTTAAGTGATGACATAGATACCCGCCATGCTGTTGCTTGGTTACCTTAATAGATATCATAAACCAAACTCCCTGTTTTGCAGTAGATGATAAAGGTTATAAAATGGAAAGCAGGTTCTCTGCAAACACTAGATGTTCCCGTGTTGCTACGCAAGACTGGTTCTGACACTCTTTGAAGAGGGGCAGCTTGGTCGTTGGGGCTTTATTCCTCCGGGATTTCACATCTGCTGTCAGCTGAAGACGTGCTGTGGAGAGTGCTTGAAGACAAACTGTGAGGTGGCTGCAAACTGCACCACTCCTGCCACCTGCCTGCCAGGAGAGCCTGAGGGTGGGAGTTGCAGCTGCTAATCCACACGATTAGTTTTGAGTTCTAGTTTTGTGCCTCTGAGAGACGAAGGGAGCAGAGGGTGACCCTTCCTGTTCAGAAGGAGTTGGTCTGGCAGCGCTGTGGTGGAAGCGTTGCTGATGGCTCCAGGTAGGATTTCTGATGTCCACCAGCCACCCTGTGTGGTCCCTGCAGCGGGCAGCACCGTTGCAGTAGAGTCCAGCAGCTGTGCTTGCCCACTTTAACGGGGACGATGCAGTATTTCTGCGGCCTCTGAGCAGAACCAGGTTCTTCCCCACCTGCCCGCAGGTGCAGGTGAGTTATCGTGGCGGGGAGAGCACAGGAAAGAGTGCACACTGTTGTACCACCTCATGCTTATCCCACAGCGTCTCTGCACAGCTGCCCTCCAGAGGGGATCCGTTTCATTTACAATCTTCAGGTCTTTCAGGTGCAGTTTAGAAACTGTTCGCTAGGTGTCAGTTAAAGACTGGGAAAAGGCTGTGGACAAGCTCCGCGCTTGCTTTGAGACTCATCTCTGGCAGAAAGTTGGAGTTTTCGTTCTGGTGAAACAGAGAACCGAGATCCAGGTGGATTTGAGGTTATCACCGTTGATGAGATTTGTTCCCCATTCCCAAGGAAGTGTGTACTGAAATCATATGAGCTCTCCTTGCATCTGCTGGTGTAGTCAAGTTTATGGGCAGCTCCCAAAGCACAAACGGTAGTTGCCTGTCTAATCTGATTTTCATCCCAGTATATCCTTTGCATGTCTGTCTAATTCTCAGGTGCAGTCAAATTCTCAAGCAGCAGAAGGATACATCTGCTGTGATGGCACAAATGGATATTTTAAAAGGGAATGCATCTTTTTTTATTCCACCCAAGGGGCTGTACTTACACAAAGGCCAGGTACTAAGCTGGTTCATTGTTATGCTGTCTCTGTATTCACAAGGTGATTTAAGGAGAAGAGGAGATTTATCCTTGTCACATATTATTTCCCCTGCTTTCACTTTTGCTTCCTCTCTCAAGTGCTCACTCCCGCTATTGCAGCTTTCTGAAGCCCAAAGGCAGAAACCTGAAAATGTAAAGGTAATGTCAAGAAGGAGGATGAAGTGGCAGGAGCCACAGTAAGGTGCTAAACCGATCCAGCTGTTCATGTCAAATGGGTCAAATGGGGAAGGAGAATCTGCCAAGCCTCCAGCCTTTAATTACAACCAACTGGATGCAATTAATTTAAATTGATACATAAATTCCCCTGATACCAGGAGCATGGGGCATTGCATTTGACATTTTCTAAATGGTCTGCTTTTACTTTTTTTTTTCCCCCCTTCAGTGTAAGCAAGAAGAAAAGCTGACAAGCTTTTAATGCCTAAAACCTTTGTCCAGAAAGGAGAAAATCCTATGGCATATGCCATTTAAAATGCAAAGACCGTTCCATGGAAAGTTTCAAGGGTTTATAACAAGTGGTTGTGTTACTGGTATTTCAGGTGAACAGAGAGGTTTTCCTTTGAGCTCAAGTCTGTTAAGGTGAATTTTACAGAAAGCAAAGAGCAACACTTGGTTGCTGTCAGGACTGTCAGGTCAGTGGGAAATCTCCATCAGCATTGATTCATGTTGCAAAGAGTATTTTTTCCTCTTTGGACCAGAGAAAGCTGGTGGGATTGCAGTTAGGAGTTGGCAGTTGTAGAGTCCCTCTGCTCCAGGACCTACAAATAAACCTGCCCCCTCTGTCTATGAATTCAGAATCTGTTGGTGTGGTCAAGGTCTGTAGTGTGCTCCATCTGAGGCATTGCTTCAGTCAAGTGCTGTTTATTAGTATAATTTCTGTCTCTTACAGCCTTTAGAGAGATAATAGAAATACTTTGAGTTTGCCAGGAGCCAATTTATCGACCCTGAATTCCTTTCACAGTGTTTGCTGCTATGGCCTCAACTCTTGTTTTGACTTGTTTGAAGGGAGACAAAAGTCTCCCTAGTCCAGTGTCCAGGATTTGCTTTGTGGCGAGCATCTGGTAACACTTCAGAGCCCTTGCATAGCCTTTTGGAATTGGTAACCAACAGAAAGTCCGCAGCTGAAGTATGTGTGTGAAAATCCAGACCCAGATTCAGCCAGCTCAAACAAACTAAAGTGCCTGTGTCTAGTATTTCCAAATGGCTGGCTCTGGGCCTTCCTGGGCACCTAGCCAGATGGGAGCACTAGCTAGCCACAGGACTCGGAGGGAATTAGGCTGGCTGCATCTGCAGCTCCCTGGCCAAGATTTGCATTGGAGGCCCTGAGAAGCAGTGACCTGGGTCTAGGTACTCTTCTGTCTGAGCACCTAAATTTAGGGAGAAGGGAATCAGCAACAGGAGCTGGATTTTTCAGCTCTTCCCTGGTGTATTTTGGCAGTTCAGATTTGAAGGGAGCCTGAATCTAGATCACCCAGCTAGGTGACAGGAGGTTGAATGATGGATCTTAGAGCTTCTCACCACCAGGTAGCAGAGTACCTATTTGTGTAGCTGCTTGTAAAGGGACAGACTGTGTATTTTTACATGTAACTGCCTTTTTGTCTGAAATCCGTGCCCAAGTGCCATTCATGCAAACCCAGTGAAAGACCATGTTGTAGGATACAATAATAGCAGAATCCTTATTTTAAACAAGGCTGTTTGTTTCTTATTAATTGTTGTTGTACTGAGTTCCTGCTTTCCCTTTTTTTGCTGCTCTTGCCTGTAAATAAGAGAGTGAATCTGCCTCTTAACAAGATACAGGATGATTGCTGCATTTCAAAGAATGAGCTGCCTTTTCAGGCCTCTGTGTGTTCGCCTGCCTGCCAAGTGATTAATTACACTGTATGAACAGCAGAAAAATTGTTGAAACATGACAAATAAATTGTGTTTGCCTCTGGGATGGAGCTGGGACTACTAGCTGATCTGCTGCTTTGAAAATATTTTCAGTAGCAATTAAGAGTTTCCCACTGGCTTCTGAAAAAAGTTTTTTCCCCCACTAGCTGCTTGAGGATATCTGCTAATACCTGTGTCAGAACAGAGGGGGCCTTTCTGCACTTGAAAAGGACTGTGATCCAAATGGGTTTTTCATGAGGCTGTGGAAGGATGTAGCAGCCTGAGACACAGCTGGACTGAGGGAAAGGTGAAGGGCCATTTGCATAGCTCTCCTTTGTGAGCCTGGAATTGCAGTTATTGTCTCCATTGTGCTGTCTCTTGCTATTTATTGAAAAGCAAAGTCCAGAAAGCACTGAATATTTTATTGAACTCAAACTTGCAGTTCTCTTCTTCAGTCCTCTTCTTCTTCTTGTTACCATCTTAAATAAAGTGTGCCTTTTTTTGCCCCCTTTTTTTTTTTTTTTTTTTTTTAAATGAGGACATCCCTTTCACCAGGTATGCCAGCACTTGCAGCAATATTAGTTTGCTGGTGAACAGATCCCTCTGGGTCACTTTGGTAGAGAGGAACAAGCAAAGACATCAAATCTTACCTGAGCCCAAGAAACATCTGTCCTATCACTTCTCGTTTCCCAGAAGCCTGCTCTGCCCAGGTTGGGGTGGTGTCCACCACAAAGACAATGGCAGTCAAGGAATAGTACTAACCTGACACCACAAGTTAATGCAGATCTTTACTAAAGATAGCACCACGCATCCTTCAGAGCTTGACTGTTGACATGTATTTATGTTTTGTACAGACTGGGCAGCACTTGAGCC